TTTTTTTTTTTTTTTTTTTTTTTTTCCTTTTTGAAATGCTAGAATCGAACCCAGGGCATCACACATGCTGTACAAGCACTGTTACCACTAAGCTATATTCCTAGTCCAAAACCCATTGTTTGTTACATGCTCAAGTGTTCATTGCTTCCACAGCAGTCAGAGAGCTGGAAGAAAGGAAGTGATATCCCTGTTGCAGAAAGGGATTCATTGAGAAACACAAGGACCACAAGGGAGAGTGACAGACTGCTTAAGTTTCACCAACCCTGTGCAGAAGAAACCATTTTTTTCATCTCCTTATAAGTAGAATAAAAGACTGGATCAGCACCATATTCATCATACACAAGTGTAAATTTACAATACACATTTTTGGTAGTTTTAGTATATATATTTTTTTTCCTACGTAATAATATTGTACTTTGTGAGAAGAGTGTACTACTCATTTTAAAATTTTCTATCAGTGGCCACAGAATATGTATGTAAGCTTTAAAATTTTTTGAAGGATATAGAACATTTTTAGTACCTCAGTCTGTGGATGAATTTTGTAAATTAAAAACAAGAAAAAAAAACAACAGGAGAGCCAGGGACTTAGCTCAGTGGCAGTGCACCTGCCTCATAAGTACAAGGTCCTGAGTTTGATCCCTAGTACAAAAAAAAAAACCAGGATATAAAGTAAGCTGTTAAATTTGACCACACTGTAATCTAAAAATTTAGTTTATTAAATACGATTGGCAAGCCATAGACTGGAAGTAGATATTTGCAGTACATGTAATCTGAAAAGATCTAGTTTCAGCTATTTTCAAGTGCTGTGATTTCTAATATAAAAGATAAAAGCACACCTATTCCCAGCTACACAGTAAGCTGAGACAGGATGATTTTGAGTTTGAGGTTAGCCTGAGCTACATAACAAGATACTGTCTCAAAAAAGTATAGTACAGTGCATAAAGCGCACACAACTTAAGTGTACAGCTCTGGCTTCTTACACATGCACCCCCCCACACACACACAGGTAGCCACTATTTATGTCCAGTCATAGACTCTTCACCCCACAGGGTTCCATCATGTCCCTTCCCAAATCTCCACCTCAAGTTAACGGTATTCCTACTATTTTTGTCATAAATTGTTTTGCCTGTTCCGAACTTCATTACTCAACATATCTGTTTTCAGCATATCCATCCATGCTGCATGTAGCCTGGTCCTTTTCCTGTGTGATATTCCATGGTGTTGATAGACCATAACTGATTTCTCCACTCTTATTGATTGGAATTTGGATTATTCCCACATTGGGGACTATAATGAATGAAACTGCTATAAACATCCTTCATGTGAAGTACTGGTGAGCAATTTGACATTATCTAGTCAAACTGAAAAAGTATATACGGCCCAGCAATTCCACTCCAAGGAAAGTAAGTTAGAGAAACTTTGATACCTGTTTAAAAAGGCATGAGTAAAAATGCCCATCTGCTGTTTTGATTATAGTTACAAAAACAAAGTAACCTTAAATGTCCACTAGTAGGAAAATGAATAAATTGTGGAATTATGCAGTGGGAAATACATATGTAAAAGCAGGCCATAAGTAAATGGAATAAAGATAAATACACTACTGAATTTTAAAAAGCAAGAGAATACGTATTTTAAGAATTTAGAAAATTTTTCAAATGTGCAGTATACTCTTTTCACAAAGTACAATACTATTTATTACTTAGGAACATATGTGTATGTACTAAAACTACCAGAAAATGTGTATGGCATTGATAAACAAAATCCAGAATGATTTACTTCAGGTGGGAAAGAAAAAGCTTGTGAAATGGGCAGAGGGTCAAGGCAGATGATAAATGTTTTAGTTTTAAGTTGTCATTAAAACCCAGGTAGTTAGTTTTTAAATTCTGAGATACTGGGGATTAAATGCAGGACTTTCACTCTTAGCTACATTCCCAACACTTTTGAAAATTATTTTTATTTTGAGACAGGATCTAAGCTAAGTTGCCCAGGCAGGACTCGAACATGGGATCTTACCGCCTCAATCTTCTAGAGTGATGGGATTAAAAGTG